CACTCCGATTTCAGTGAAAGTCAACGCCTCTTCCACCGTGGGTGAGCGCGTGTGTGTGTTCTGAAGAAATATTTTCGTGGTGTTTGTTTCTCTTGAGTTTCGCGTGAACTTGTAGATGTTTGAATTAACGAGATATATATCGGTAGTCACGAAGGATTGATGCAGTTCATAATGGAACCCTGGCGTTTTCCCGATTTATTTGAGTCCATAGATATCATTATGTGAAATGATAAGCTATTTGTAAAAGAAAAAAGTTCAAAGTGAATTCACTTGAGAAGAAGCTCTGTGTAAACAAATAAAATCGAATTTTTGTAGAAAGCTGTTTTTGTTTGGTTTTCAGCGCATTCAATTTGGTTTGCCAAATTCAATTTCGCAAAGCCGAAAAGCAATTTGTTTTTAAATAGGCTAATCCCATTGTTTGGATCCAGATTTGCATGGTTTTAACAAGATTCGATTTGTAGTAGATGATCTCTATAATGTGTATGTTGATCCTAGCTTCATGTTGGTGTAGTAGTGTTGATTTGTCTATGCAGTCCATTAATTATGTGCTTGTTATGTACAAGGGGCACTTAACAATGAATTGGAAGCTGCATCTACTAGAAAGGTTGGAGCTGATGACTTGTTGATTGTTGGGCCAGGGGTCCTCGGACGCATCGTGGCTGAAAAATGGCGGGAGGTAATATTTTTCTAGAGAACATATAGAAGTTCTTTCTAAAACATTAATGCAAATATATGATCACGCAAGAGGCAATAGTATTGTACATCTATCGCTATTCTAAATGTCATTGCCTGGGTTCTAGGATTCCCTTGACCACCTAGGTCTTTGTTTCGTTTCTTTTTGTTTCTATGTTAAATTGAATGTTGAATCCTATCTACGCCACTTCTAATCCTGCCGAGGTCCGGGCGAAGCAATTGGCCCCACACTTTTGCCCACCTGGATCCTACCGTTTTTATAGAGCATCGAGATCTATGAGTAGGGGTATGTTGGGTGGAAAATATGGTGATTAGAAATAAATTTTGGAAAAGTACATGTTACCGGCATTTTACTTGTCCTGCATTAGTGGATTGTGCCTAATTACGTGTTCGAGAATTGGGCTGGTAATGGTTCCTTTTGTGTTTATACGACATGTATATAACATAGAGATACTGAACAATTTGAATTTTTCACCATATTTAGGAACATCCTGGATGTCAAATTTATGGGCAGACATTAACGACTGATCATCATGATGAGCTAATAAAGATGGGGATCAGTCCTTTTCTCAAGGGTGGAACCCAAGTAGCTTCCAAGTTTTCCCAAGTCATCTTCTGTGCTCCTCCATATGGAACCGCCGATTATCCGGGTGAAGTCAGGTGTGCTAAGCAATATGCACAAGTGAATTATTAAGATTAGGTTCCAAATGATGTTGAGTCCAAAAAAACTGATACTGCAAACCCAGCGTAGTCAGTTTTATACAGATGTCGTGTCCCAAGTGGGATGTTGAGGAGGTGGGCCCATGCTTGACCCGATATACCCATTGCACCATCACCTTGCCTGAAGTTTAAATATATTGTATCAAAAGGAATTTCATTAGTTTTTATGTGGAATTTTGTGTGTTTGCTTAAATCAATATTAAGCTTAAATTAACACAAGCTTATCTGTCTTTTTGCATTCTGGTCTTCCATCACCTCATATTGCATTTTTGGATGCCTGCTCACTGAAAGAGAGTGGTTACATCTTAAATATATATGACTTCACGTTTTGTGCTAATGCTAACATTAGGGAAGCAACATTAAGCTGGAATGGTGAAGGTTCCTTCCTATTTACTTCAAGCTCGGCCCCCTATGACTGCAACGACAATGGAGATTGTGACGAGGTATTTCATCTAGCTTGAAAAAATATTTATTTCGTGACACTACTAAAGATAGAACTTTCATTCTCATGTGAATTCTATGTAATTAATTATTACTTTCTGTTTATGTAGGACACTCCAGTAGTACCCATTGGGAGGAGCCCTCGGACTGACAATCTACTAAAGGCAGAGAAAGTAGTGCTCGAGGCTGGGGGTTGCGTTGTCAGACTAGCTGGACTTTACATATCCTTCCTTTTTCTTTCTAATAACTCAGATTGAGCCCTTAATACTTTTCAACTGAAATAAGATGAATAGATGATACAACAACCTTAACTGTGAGTACAAAGTAGATAGAGGTGCACATATGTACTGGTTGGAGAAAGGGACAGTTGATATTCGGCCGGATCACATTCTTAATCTAATACACTATGAGGTGACTGTTGATATTCTAATAGACTCTCACATAGTCCTCGTTTCTTAGAAATTTTGATTTAACGAAATGGGTTCGTGCAAGTATATAGGATGCAGCTTCTCTTTCGATTGCCATCTTAAAAAGTAATCTCCGCAGCAGGATCTTTCTAGGATGTGATAACCACCCTGTATCCAGGTTCCATGGTTTAAACTCAATAAGCAGCAATTGAATATAGTAGGATTGAGATAATGTAGAAATTGCTTATAATTAGCCATATCATACGTTTTTCAGACAGGAATTGATGGACTTGGTTAATAAGAGTGGAAAATATAGTAAGAAGTTTGAGGCTTTTACAGGTAAGCTTTGCATCTTAGATTTTTGTTATTGTTTGTTTGATCACTTGTTGATGTTTGTTAAATTTTTCTGCAGGAACTTCAGACCTTTTAGGTAAGAAATTGAACAGCTCGAAAACCCGTGCAGAACTTGGTTGGGAGCCGAAATATCCGAGCTTCGCTCAATTCCTTGAGACTCTTTAAGTAGCTTTTCCAAGGAAAACTTGTGCCCTAAATTTACTTTTGGAGCATGTGATCTGCATACAGATTTGTCATTGATGAAGTTCTTTTTGAAGTACTTGGTATCTTTGCCTGAAATCCATGTTGTTATCTTCCAATAATATGAGAAATGCTATAGGTACATAATATTATACATAGAGGTATACATAACACTCACATTAAGTGGGCCTTACCATAAAGAAAAAATAAGTGGACCCCACTCCATGTTAATGTTATGTACATCTGAAGGAATTTAGTTCCTTCAGGGATTGATTTCATTATGAACATGAAGAACAAGAAATTAAATTTCTCAATCATTTGCACTGAATACTAGAATGATTTTCTTATCATTAAAAGGTACGTTGCGGATGCTCTCTTTGCACATATATATACTTGAGCTAACAGAGAATATTATAGACCCATAACCTAGCTACAATAAATATCAACCACATATAATAGGACAAGAATAAGCTAGACTTTTTGTCTTATTGTGTGAGTCACCACAACTAATTGGTATGCAACTCCTATTTTCTCTCGTGCCATTATGTACAACAATATGAGGGACATGAGAGTCTTTTCTTCCACCTGCACCTGTCATGGTCCCAGCTTGAAGTTCTGACGTGGCATGAGGTCTTGCATGGCAGTCTGTGTTGTGATGGTCAACAGCCCCCTCAATTCATGCTCGGGTTTGAGACAAATTCCTAATTTGGAGCGAAGACGAGCAAAGAATTGTCCAAATAAAGGCTTTGTGAAAATGTCAACTATTTGTTCAATAGAGGGAATATGGTGGACTGTGATTGTGTGACAATTGACATGTTCTCTGACAAAGTGGAAATCAATCCCTGCATGTTTTGTCTTCGAATGAAAGACTGGATTTTTTGACAAGTGACATGCTTTTAGATTATCCACCCAAATTGTAGTAGGTTTATGTAGAGGAAAATCAAGTTCTATCAGTAA